TGAGAATGTTGCATGGGGGGATATTTGTTTTAAGAGGAGGAGATTAAAACACGTCAACGTCGCTTAATCTATTCTCCATTTCGAGAGGGGGTCACACGTGAAAGGTGTGGAGATTAACAGGCCACGATGTACATATCGATAAATTAATTAAATACTCCAAGGCTGACATAGTTTATGGGCTTTGGGTCGTTTAGAAAATCAATAGGTCGGTTCGTTGTTATAAACAAGGCCATTCTCATAGCCCATTCTTCATAAACTTTGTTTAGCCATATTCTCGCCAGCAACGTAGATTCTGGTCTGAAATGTATCATTCCAAGTTTGATGCACAAGACAGTACTGCCACTTTATTCTCTTCGTCCAACAAGAAGCTTTCGAAATGCAAGTAAGGTCTATAACAATACATTTCCAGGACAGGTCTTTGGTTTCATCATCAATCTTATTGGTCACCCATATCCTCATTCCTCCTACCCTCTTATCAATGTGTAACAAGAAAATTTTTTCATCTCTAACAACTGAAAGAAAGGCTTTCTCCTGAGGATCAAGAATCTGAAATGGAAGAGAGACACACACAAGTGTCTCGGTTGTGAAATCGAACTTTGAGATAAAGAAAGCATTAATTTCTTTATCTCGAGCAACAAAGTAAGCGTCGACTTTCAAAGACACGCCACTGCGATTTATGGAGTAGCCAAGTCCAGGAGGAAAGGAATCAAGAATCCTCCAAGAATCAGAGCTAAAATCATAGATCTCACCCTCCGCTTTCTGGTCGTTTTGACGCCTCAAGGTTTTGTAGCTGCTATGGTGGCCACAAGAAGAAGTGGTGGTGGTGTATCCTAAAGCATATGCATCATCATAACGGTAACAAGTCCTAGGTTTGATGCTCCTAGTTCCTCTTTGTTTTGCATAACATTAAACCCTCGAATATAATTTAGCATAGTATAGCAGTCAACTATAAGGTTCTAATCAATAAAAAATTGGAAACATTAGTCGTATTTTTAACTTTAATGTAGCTTACAATATAAGGTTCTAATCAATTGAAAAATTATTCATTTGAGTAATTAATCGGTTGGTTTACCAGTTTACAATCGGAAGACAATTCAATCTTTTATATTTTTTCTCAAAAAATAATATTAACTGTTATATTGATAATAAATGCAGTATACAATTATTATTTTTTTAAAAATTATATGACATATGAATTTTCAAATGAAAACCTAAATAAAAATTTATTATTTAGTTTTTAAATTAATAATAAATGTATTAATAAACAATTATAAAAGGTTTAAGTCCATATGTGCAGATGAAATATTTAGTATTTGTTGAAAAATATATGTGGTGTTATGTAGTTGACTGCTATACTCTGCTAAATTATATTTTTGTTTCAAAGTTTCAAAATATTATACTCATTCCGTTCCTAAATGATCTATATTTTAGAAAAATATTTTGTTTCTAAAAGATTCATATTTTACATTTTCAATGTATGTAATAATGGTAAATTGTAAACTTCAAAAACATTAATTATGTTTACTGAATTTTGATTGACTAAAAATCATAGGAAATAGCTAAACACATAAAATAATACATTTATTATCAAAATTTTAAGTGTTTTCTTAATAAGTGTGAAAATTCTAAAACATGGATTATTTAGGAACAGAGAGAGTATAAATTTTGGCATCGAGAATTAGTACTTTTTGAATTTTGGCTCATGATCAGCTCTATAAAAAAAGCATTCAGTCTGTTGACTAATAAATTTTAGCAGTTTACTTCTCTACCATCAAATCTCCATGGGAGAAAAAAAACACCATAGCCACACAATAAAACTGCAAATTGATGCATGAAGTTGTATGGCCATATATCATAACTTAGTTACTTACTATAATAAGCCTCATAAAGAGAGAGAAGTCATTTGTCCTAAAGACGGGATAATCCTGGGACGAAAAGTTCCCAATAACTTAGTATACTTTTGTTTGACTTCTTTTCGGGTTATGGATTCATCTCGTGAAGCTAAACACGAGGAGGAGAGAGGAAAAGATGAAGCAGCTTCTTTGGTGGATGTAAATCTCATGGTTGTGCTTCTCTCTCAGTTTTGTACGAAGGACGAATTAAATGATAATAATTTGGAGAAAGAGAAAAGAGATCATGCTGCGCATGAGATTCGTGAATCCAGAGCACGTGCAAACAAGAGGTTTATGAAGGAAACAAAGGTCATGGAGAAAAGGACGCACGTGCTTCAACCCATGGCTAAGGAATTTAGGTGAAATTAACTTTCTTAATACCATTGATGTAGCTCCTTTTGTTCATGTTCACCATTACCTTTTTTTATGCCTATGATGCACAGGCATTCCAGGAGAATGTGAAGGGTCATTATCATGACTGGTGATCTTGTACGTGCTTGCCCTAGAAGACTGAAAGCAATCATCATTTTTTTAATTGCAGTGAAAATTTTGTTATTGAGCATTATGAAATTAAAGATGGAAATATGAGGAGTGTTTCCCATGATGTAATATTTTAAGTATTCACTTTGTAAAAAACGTATATTATTTGTATCACTACAGCTGAGATGCAATTATCTTTTTAACCTAACATGGAAAATAGGTCACATCACAAATGAAAATTTGAAGAACCCATTAAAAATGGACACGCCAATATATATTTTTCCAGAGGTTTTCATATATTTTGAAAAGTCAATTATTATTCTGCTTCCTTATAAAAACTAGAAAATCTAAAAATTTATATTTTTATCAAATCTAAAAATAGAGTTTATATTTTGAAATTTGTGTGTTAACAAAAAAATGTAGACTCTTTTTCTCAATACTATATACATATTACGACTTCTTTTTTGGGTCAATACTATTTATTATGATTAAAAACTCAATCAGTGATATTAAAAGTCATAAAAGCATGTGACATAACCTTTATTTAAAATATATGACTCCATAGTTTATGTTTATGATAAATATAATCTTACCTTTTTCTATTAAAAATATAAATTAAGTTGCCAGTAACCTCTTAACATTAGGCATCGAACATTAGGTTCATTATTACAAAAACATCACGAACCATCCAGTTATGCAATATATTGGCCCCAAAAGCCCAGTCAAATAAACGTAAAACATCCGACACGAACAGTAGGCCCATACACAAACGCGACGACGTATGAGTACTTCTCCATGGTCGGTAGGTGACCTAAAAATAACATATAACCATGATTAACAGCCAGTAACACCTACCTAATCACCCTTAATCAATCATTGTTAAATAATAACTTTATGTCCATAACCTAACCCACAATCTTTTTAACTTTTTTCTCACAACTTGAGACCATTAGTTATGTTAAACTTGAATTAATTAATAATTGAACTCACATGAAAATGTCGGATATCGGCAGTTCGGCACTGACATTGGTCGACACAAGTCGTGAGGTCGATTCAGAAATAAAACCAAAACTCACCAGCCTACATAGTATTAAAACTTCATAACCATTTAATACGGTCGGTCGAATATTCCATACTATCCTGAACATTTAAATACATGATACAGCTACATATTATATGTAGTGTTAAATCTTTATAAATTTCGGCTAGCCGTCGAATGTAAAAGATGTTCACACGATGGGTCTTTCATCGACGTGGAGAAGATTGCTTTAAAACAAACCGAACAAAAGGTGATGTAAGCGTTGATAAACAAACAAAAGTGGCCGGAGAGGGAAATGCGTAATATATGAGGGGTCGTTTTCTCAAAAGCCATTTTTAGTCACTGTACAAGAAAGAAGTTTGGGTTTGTCACTGATGGAGTTGTGACTATAAGAAATGGAGTCATGAGTCACATGACACGGTCTCCGTTGTTGTAACATTTAATGTGTTTAATTTCTCGAAAATATTAAGCATGCATTAATCATATACAACAATGTGAAACTGTGTATCACTATAATGAGTAATGACTAATGAGTAGTGACTATGAGCAATGAACTCGAAGCTGTTTAATATAAGTCATCAAGTTTAAACAAAGGGAGTATGAACATCTTAAACCAAATCTCAAATCTTTAAATTTTGAAGTTTTATCATTTCAACCAAATTTCAAATTCTAATTTTTTTAAGTTTTGAATAGAAACACTTCAAATTTGAGGTTTTATTGTTTAAAACCTCAAAACTACTATTAATTTTTTTCGTCCTTACAATTATTTTATTTCTCAAATATTTCTATTAACTTTATTTAAATGACTTAAATACATCTAAATAAAATAAAATATAATAAATATTACATAACATAAAAATAAAATTCATAGAAATAGAAAAATACATTAAATAAAGTTCACACAAAATAAAAATACATCAAAAAAATTAACATAAATGAAAAAAATTACATAAACATTTAAATATTACATATCTTTTTTATAATGTAAGATATGTAATATTTAAATGTGTATGTGTGTTGTTTTATTATATATGTAATTTCTATTATTTTTATTATATAATATTGTAATATTGTGTGCTGTATAATATATTAAAAATATTTTTATATGTATTTGTGAAGTTTTATCATTATTAATAATTTTTATTAATGTTAAAACCTATAATGCAAATAGAAAAAATTTGTAAAGATTTTTTTTTAAGATTCATGGTTAGAATATTCAATCCTCAAATCTTCATTTTAAAGGTTTATTCCTTTTAAAAATAAATCTTGAGTTAAAGATTTTCGAATAATGTAACGTTTAGTTCATGGAATAATAAAGGGTGGGAAGCTGATAAAAATGCCAAATATAGTCAGCAAGGATCAATCATTTGATACGTACGTGAACTTCATGAGCTTCTTATCTTTGTTAAAATGTACTTTTTATCGATTAATTCATGAAACTTTTGCTTACAAACGTACGTACGTCTCACCTTTTACTCAGTTATTTGTTTGCGTTATTGAGTAAGTACGAACCTTTTTGTAATGAGTTTACGTGTTAAATAAAATTGTCAAAATGTCGTAAAAGCAAAGCCATGGATTTGGAGATACATATATATCTTTTAAAATTATTGCTCACATGGTTATTAGTATGTGTTTTCTCACATATTTAATTTAGAAATTTCAGATAGACATCAACAACATCGAAGTAGAGAACACCTACAAAGAAATCTAATTACATGAAATTGCAAGTATATATATTTAAAATTATGAAGAAATTATTTTGAAATGGTTATTTATAATTATTTTTTGTTAATTCGAAATGGCATTGTTAAAAATTGGGTAGCTACACACTTACACTAGTACAGACCAACACAATGGTGCTGTATATTCAACTCGTTTTCAGAGATATTTAGGAACTAATTTTGTTGGCTGTAGCATCTAATTGTAATAAAAGGTAATAATTATATTGCTGGACCTATCCGATATCTAATATGTGATTTTATTGGATAATTGTAAAGGTAAACATCTAATTAATAAGAGGTCTGTATGTAAAGCGAGACAACATAGTATAATCCATGCCTCAATGGGACCACTACGGTCAAAAATATTCGATTAGCTAATGACAAATGCATAGAGACATCATTATGTATGGTTATTAGAATATAGTATATGCTTATGGAAGAACTGTGTGTCGTTTACTCATTCATCTTAACATAATCGCTTTGTCTGTTAGCTTCTATATTGAAGAACTGTGTGTCCTTTACTCATTCATCTTAACATAATCGCTTTGTCTGTTAGCTTCTATATTGAAGAACTGTGTGTCCTTTACTCATTCGTCTTATCGTTAATCCTTTGTATTAAACGCGAGTATCGAGTGCGCTTACGTATTCGAACAACTCAAACGCTGAAATACTGTAAACATAATGTATCAGTATTGTAAAAGATTATAATGTTACAATGTATGGTTGAGGTAATAGGTGCATGTTATCCATCTAATCATAATTGTGAATAATATGAATTAGCAATAAATAGCCGTTTGTTTTATAGAAACATGAAACCCAAGACTAACTTTGAACTGGAAACAAAGGTAAAAAAAAGCTAAGACAACATAATCTAAAAAGATAGAAAACATAGTTGGATAAGACTAAAGCCAAAAATTAATCTCGCATCAAACATACTCACATTAGATTTACTTTATCTTGAGTGCTGCTTTACATAAAAATATTAAAAAGAAAATCGAACTTAAGTGAATCATAGTCACAAGACTTGGAAGTCATAGCTTAAAGAATAGTTTAAGCATGAATATCCTTTTTTTTAACGAGTCTTTAAGCCAATAATTTAAGCAGCAGTAAGAAAAAAAGAACTTTAAAATGGTAGTAATATTTGTGGTCTGTTAATGGATCTGGCTAGTTTTCGTTCTTTTATGAAAAGCGTGTTAAAGCCCACTCAAAATCAGACATTTCTCGTAATTTCAATAAACATTTGGGGTAAAAGAGAGGAAAATGTAAAGAATGTGACCCACAAAATTAATGGGAGACGAGCCGAAATAACTGGACGGCACTTGCGACGTGTAATAAGGGAGCGATCCAGTGGGACATTTTCTACTAATTTCTAATTATGATAATCCTCGAAAAAACCAAAACAATCAAATTAAAAGCCATTAAGGAAAATTCAATTAGATGTCGTTGTAATTTCTCTTTTTTGATGTGTGCTGAATCCTTTTACCTCGTACTTTATTTTAATTTCCATCTAATCACTGTTCTTATTTATTTTCCAATTAGTATTGTTCCTTTGTTGTGGAACCTGGACGAAAATATATTAAATTATAAGATAGTTTAGTTCAAAAATATACCAGCGGTCAAATAACAAAGTTGTATGTCATGGTTCACTATTGAATCGTGGACAATTTTGCATGTAAAGACAATTAACATCAATCGTTGATAAAAAAAAAAAAGAATTAATAATGTTTAAGTTTTTTTTGTTCACAATGTTAAAACTTCTTTAAAATGATTCGTTCCATATATAAAAATAATGGTCAATTCATGATTTCTCACTTAAAAAAGAAAGGATGAACTATTAATAATAATCTCGATTTTCCAAATTTAATACACTTGTTTTAAAAAAATATATATATATATGGTATATATACATTTTGCCTGGTAGAGTAAATTAGTTATACACTTTGTAAGCAAATTAAACTCTGTTACTCAGCTTCATTTTAATAAGATCTTCAGTTGTAAGCAAATAAATATTCGTTTTAATAAGATCTTCAACTATATATATATTTAGGTTAAAAATCAGTAAAAGAAGGGCTAAACCAACAATCAAGAATTGTAAGAATATACTATAGTTCTCTTAACAGTAGTTGGCTATTCCTAAACTGATAAGAGTAGTAATGTTTTATGTATTATAAATTGTTCATTGCAGCACATAAGAAAACAGAAGACATATGGATGTATCGATCAAAACCAAAGATATTTTAAACACTCGATGTAATTTGTTGACCAGATGCGAATAATTTTGGTTTATTGTAGCATGAAAGTTGGAGAGGGAGAGGGAGTCCCAAGAAAGCCTAATAAACTAAGGGAGTATTGGTCTGAGAGAACCAGCCCGGTTAAAATAAAAACTGGCGTTATAGGTATGTACTTTAGTGGTGGATTGGACCAAATCATGTGCAGAAAACAAAACAAAATTTTGGTCGGAAGGAAGATAAAATAAAATAATAACAAATCCCGTCGGCAAAAGTATTGTCAAGACTCAGAAAAAAAAATAAAAGAGAGGAAGAGAAAGAAAAACTAATGAGTAACGGCTTTCACTGATCCATCATCATCCTCATCGACTTCAAACTATCAAACTTCTTCTTCCCTCTCAACTCTATAAATTCACAAGATTATCTTGACTTTTTACAATCACTCAACTTCTTTCTTACTCCTAAAATCTTTCTCTCTCTCTCTCTCTTTATCTCTATATACTCCACCGAGCTACAGAGCTCACAGCAACAACAGGCAGGTACTCTCTCGCTTTATCACTCCTTCATTTATTCATTTCATCTCATCTGGTAAAAGGAATAGTTTCTCCGACAACGAACTCGTTGACTTTTCGCTCTCTTTCTCTCTCTCTCCTCTTATCAGATAGATTCCAAAGTTTTTCTCTCTTTACTTCTTCTCCCAATCTCATAGATTCCAATATGGGTTCTGACTATTACCTCTAGAAAACTAATGGGTTCCTCGATTCTTGATTCCTCGTCCTTAAAGTATTGTTCTTTGCAAGATAAAAAAAGTTTTAAGAGTCTTGTGTTCATTTTCTGTTTTTGAATTTTTCTTCTTATCACAAAAGAGTATCACGTAGGTTCAGGAAAACCGTTTCATCCCTTTTCCTAAAATAAAAATCTTTTTGCCTAGTCTTCTTTTAATTTCCTGCTTTTTTTTTTTTTTTAATTTCCCTTTATGTATTCTCACATACATAAAGAGCTTTAAAGACTTCGTCTCTGTTTCTTCTCTTAGCTCTCTGCAACTCTGTCAGAATATGCCCCCTTTTGCTAAATTTTAGAATCTGGTTTTGGATTGTTTGCTCACTTTTGTTTTTTTTGTTTCTTATCTTAGGATGTTGGAGAAAAAGGCTGAGACTTTCAACATGAACAGAGTCATTGATGAATTCAATGAAATGACAAGAAACGCTGATCAAGTCCAAATACAAACCTTGAAGGAGATTCTCCACAAGAACCAATCAGCCATCTACTTACAAAACTTTGGGATCAATGGGAACACAACAGACACAGAAGAGGATTTCAAAGCATTGGTTCCATTAGTCACTGATTCTGAATTAGAGCCTTACATCAAAAGAATGGTTGATGGTGACACTTCACCTATCCTCACTGGTCATCCTGTTCCAGCCATTTCCTTAAGGTTTCTTTTATTTTCCTTACAAAACTCATTTTGTGTGTTCTGTTTTATGTTATTTACTCAAATGAATGAATCTTTCTGTTTCTTTGTGTTATAATAATCAACAGCTCTGGAACTAGTCAGGGCCGTCCAAAATTTGTTCCTTTCACTGATGAGTTAATGGAGAACACACTACAACTGTTTCGCACTGCTTTTGCCTTCAGGAACAGGTATAGTAGTGATCATGTTCCCCACATTCTCCCACTTTTCTATGTATCCATCCATTTACATGAACAGAGTGAATACAACTGTTACAATAAAATAAGAAATCCAAGTCCCATTATAAATATCTGGTCCAACTCCACTTAGTATAAACCGACCCAAGAATAAATCCGTGAGGACTTAGGCCCAAAACGGACAATATTATAATAGTCACCAGGTCCGTCACAACAACAACTACTAATAGTTGTTTCTATTTTTCACAGAGAGTTCCCTATTGATGACAATGGGAGAGCATTGCAGTTTATCTTCAGCAGCAAGCAATACATATCAACAGGAGGTGTCCCTATTGGAACAGCAACCACAAACGTGTACCGTAACCCTAACTTCAAAGCAGGGATGAGATCTATACAGTCTCTTTGTTGTAGTCCCGACGAAGTTATCTTCAGTCCTGATGTTCATCAAGCACTCTACTGCCATCTCTTATCAGGAATCCTCTTCAGAGACCAAGTCCAGTACGTCTTTGCCCCCTTCGCTCATGGTCTTGTCCACGCGTTTAGAACCTTTGAACAGGTTTGGGAAGAGATCGTTACCGATATCAAACACGGTGTCTTGACCAGCCGTATCACTGTCCCATCAGTACGTACTGCAATGTCCAAGCTCCTCACACCTAACCCTGAGCTAGCTGAGACGATACGCAACAAGTGTTTGAGTTTGAGCAACTGGTACGGGTTGATTCCTGCGCTGTTCCCGAACGCGAAGTATGTTTATGGGATCATGACTGGCTCCATGGAGCCTTATGTTAAGAAGCTGAGACATTACGCTGGTGATCTACCTCTTGTGAGTCATGACTATGGTAGCTCTGAAGGATGGATTGCTGCTAACGTTACACCGAGATTGTCTCCAGAGGAAGCTACTTTTGCTGTGATTCCTAATCTTGGCTACTTTGAGTTTATCCCTGTGTCTGAAACAGGGGAAGGAGATGAGGAACCTGTTGGTTTAACTGAGGTTAAGATCGGACAAGAGTACGAGGTTGTCATCACAAACTACGCAGGTACTAAGAGTTACCTACTGTTTAACTCATTGTTAAATAACTATTATTTTTTAAATTATAAAATCTTAAAACCAATAGTACCAGTCAAGTAAGTTAGTCAAGTAAGTTACATGTATTTTTGTAATACAAATGTCACTTTGATTTTGATGGTTAAAAATGGTAGTAAAAAACTTTAAGGTTCAAATTGTTAGTGAAATGATTTTATGTGATTTTCCCTATAATATATTTAAAATGCAATATATTTCAGGATTGTATCGATACCGCCTTGGAGATGTAGTAAAGATCACTGGTTTCTATAACAAGACTCCACAACTCAAGTTCATATGCAGGAGAAACCTAATCCTCTCCATCAACATCGATAAGAACACAGAAAGAGACCTTCAGCTTTCAGTAGAATCAGCAGCAAAGAGGCTCTCAGAAGAAAAGATCGAAGTCATAGACTTCTCAAGCCATGTAGATCTCTCGACAGAGCCAGGACATTATGTTATATTCTGGGAGATCTCAGGTGAGACAAACGAAGATGTTCTTCAAGACTGTTGCAACTGTTTAGACAGAGGGTTCATCGATGCTGGCTATATGAGTTCAAGAAAATGCAAGACTATTGGTGCTTTGGAGCTGAGGGTTCTCGAGAAAGGAACTTTCAAGAAGGTTCAAGAACATTTTCTTGGCCTTGGTTCATCTGCTGGACAGTTTAAGATGCCTAGATGTGTGAAGCCAAGTAATGCTAAGGTTCTGCAGATTCTGTGTGAGAATGTGGTGAGTAGATTCTTCAGTACAGCTTTTGAGTGAGTGTTGTGAAATCAAGAAAAGTTGTTTTGTTATCTTTACTGTTGATAGATAAGTTTTACTTTTGTTATTAAATTCAGTGTAAGAAACAAACAAAACTTTTATCTTTTATAAGTAGACGAAATATGTATTAATCACAGTGGTTTAACTTTGCATTTTGTGCAATAATGATATGATTGTTGAATGAATCTGGTCAAGACATGTCCTTTTCAAGAACAATATCATTTACACAATAGAGTAAGTGCAGAGAAAACTATAGTGGTGTGGTTTTGTCTCAGCAGCTATTCGTGATTATGACATAATTGTAGGACCTGGTAGATGTCTAAAAGCATATTGTCGTTAATGAACTGATTAGCACTAATAGAAATCTTTAAAGTAACTTTTCATAATTTTATCTCTCTTAAGTAACGTTATCGTTTTCTGAGTCGTATGCTTTTAATATATCTTATAAGAATCATGTAAAACACACATGTGCATGATCATAGTGACAAGTTTGTTATATGTCTTGGACTGTTAATTGGATGAAACCAAATTCACGGATGATTAAGACGCATAATTACTAGTTAATGAAATGTTTAGGAACTTGTTAGTAGGAAAATTCACATAAAGTTGTCAATAGGCAGGCATATGTTTACGGCGAAAGATTTTCTTTAGTAATTTTTTTTTTGGTAAACATCTGACGTAAATTTGTAGAGAAATGTTTCATTAGCATATATCAAAAGTTGTAAGAGAAGAAACAATGGAGTACAAATACTCTTACATTCAGAGTGTCATTGTTTGCTAGCAAATAGTATTTGAACATCCAAAAATAAAATCAAAAAATAAATTAGAAGAACTTCGAATTTGAAAAAGTATAATTCAAAAGTATAAAAATTATTATTATTTTTTATCATACATAAATATAAAACAAGAGTATAAACCCATAAAAGTCTTTTGCCACATAAGGAAGAATGTATTTTTTAATTTGTTTTTTAGTGGTTGTATAAATGAATAGTGATACCAAGAAAAGTGGTAAACATGAAAATTCCTCATTTTTATATTCAATATAATACAAATTTGTTTCAAAAAAAAAATAATAATACAAATTTAAGAACAAAATAATATATAAAATTTCTAAAATAATTCATATTTATAACCCAAAAAAACTAGTGTTGGGTTAAAATCTAGTTATATATTTATACTCCAAGTAAACTCAGTTAAGGAAGTTGAAATTAAACAATAAATCAACCTTTAAGACAATAATACAGTAGTTGGGTTGCAGAGATTACAAAGACAGAGGAAACTCAGAAAGTGCAGTGATCCTTTAAGACCTGCCTTGCGAGATCAAACGCTCGCTGTGCTTATAGATCAAATGCAGATTGTGAGCAGCCTCTTTGCGTAGGTCACAGTTAACAGTTTTTTTACGCTCTTCCGCACCGTCTGGATCTTCGTTTGGGAGTTTCGGCATCGGCATCGGATACTCTTTCTCGTACATCGCCAAAACCTTGTCGTAGTAAGAAGCCGCAAGAGTCACAAGACCTACGTGGTGATACCCCCGAGCAACGTTATACAACGCCTCTTGACTGTTGCTGCAGATTCTTATATTCTTGTATAAAAATGCAAAGCCTTGAGCGAGACACTCATGCCGGTTCTTGAGTCTGAAACCGAGTGCTAAGTTGATTAAAGCAGCTCCTAAAAAAAGAAAGAGATTAAAATTTTTATTTGAACTCTTGAAAACGAAGGAGAGAAGAATATATATGTATTTACCTACGCAGATGTTGATTAAAGGGCTATCAGGCATTAGTTTATATGCTTCAAGATATTCTCTAGCAGCATCTTGATGTCGGCTTGTCACGGTGAAATGATGACCAGCGATGAGAATAGGCGGTACACAATCCCTGCTCTTGCTTCTTAAGTGATGCATCAACTTAGCAGCGTCCCTCGATGCTATTTTCTCTAGTCTTGAGATGACTTTGTAATAGCAGTTCCAGGCATTCAGACATTTTGGGTGTTGCTTAATGACATGTCTTACACAGTCAAGCCACTGCTTTGGATCCAAAGTATCACATGATATCTCTGTTAAAAAAAAACATCAATAGAAGAAAGCGGTGTTAAACATAGACTTATTTATAAGTCGTCTTGAAGGGAAAAATGTGAGGGTTTAGGGTTAGGAAATTACTAGCTCCAAGTGACTGAAGCTCTTTTTTCTTCTCAACAGGTAGCATTTTGGCATCCAATATACTAGCCAGGTTAACTATCTCCAGAGCTTTCCCATATCTCTGCAGGGAAGTCAATGCCTTGCACACCTACAAAAACATGCAAATTGAAGGAGGAGCCATGACAAACATCAAGGAAGTTATACGGTCATACTCAAGAAAAAGGAACCCAATATACAAAATATGTACAAGGGAACGGTTAATTACATCAACAAAGAGACGGTGATACTCTTCATCCTTGATAGCTTCTTCCTGATTAGAGATGTCAAAAGAATAACCCCGGTCAAGGTCAACATTAAAAAAAAAGGTGAAAGCATTTCAAGTAACTAAAAACAAAGAAGAAAATAACCGCCAGAGGCATATTGTAACCAAGTTGAAACACAAAAGTCTTGTGGAAGGTAAAACTGT